TGGAGCAACGGCGCTGCAGGTAGGTACCTCTGGCCTCCGCCCAAGCTCTCTCTCTCTCTCTCTCTCTAGTACTACCTAGCTATGGCGCTCAGCGCTGGAGACTACAGCTACCTACTGCGCCCAGCGCTGAAGACTACTAGCTAACGCTACAACTACTACTACTCAGCGCTCCCTCCAGAGTGCTGCTCCCGAATCCTGAAGACTACAACTGACCGACTGCCTACCTTGGAAGTGCCTGGGAAGTCCTATGTACTACCTCGGCCTGCCTCCTGACTACTGGAGGCCAGTCAGGCCGAGGAGGCAGCTCTTGCCAATGCCAAAGTGTGCCAGGGGCTGGCGTGCAGCAGCCTGCTTGAGGCTGGCGTGGGAAACAGACTAATAATAGTCTGTTTCCGAAACCCTGGTTCGGTGCCTGAGTCTCAGGGCCGATCGTTCTGATGAACTACCAAAAATGGCCCTTCGTTTCAGGCTAAAAAGGCTGTTGCCATTTTTAGTCTGAAACGACCAGGGATAGGCCCTGAGCTTCAGGCTTTCGTGCTGAGCCGATAGGGGGCCTGTAAGCCCTGGATTTCAGGCTTTCAGCCTGAAATTCAGGCTTTCGGCCTGAAATTCAGGCTTTCGGCCTGAAGTTCAGGCTTTTGGCCTGAAACTGTCGGGCCTGCAAAATGGCCGTCGGGCCTGCAAAATGGCCCGTGTGTGCACGCGCTGCATGTAACAGAGGTTCATGATGTGTGCAGGATGTGCTGTTTGTGTGCTATGTGTAGTGAGAGCTGCGTGTGTGGTTTGTGCAGTGAGTGCTTGGTGTACTGCTATGAGCCTGTGTGTGCTGTGTGTGCTGTGTGTGCTGTGTGTGCTGTGTGTGATGCTGTGAGGCTATCCCCCCCCCCGCCCTGCACCCCCCACCTCCGGACACTCAAAAAGAAAAAACTGAGACAGGATTTGGGCCCTCTGTGCAAGCGCAAACGACCCTGGCCTGTGAAAAAAAAAAAAAAAAAAGTGTCAACTCAACTTCTTTTCATGGCTGGGTGACCCAGGCGCGAGACCTGCCCGGGCATGATGCCCGGGCGCCTCCCTGGACATGACAATCTTCTTAGCAATTCACGCTAAACGTTATAGCCAGAGCTTCCGCTTCCCGAGGACAAGAGCCTCTAACATGTTCATGGGAAACCCTATTGACGAAATTCACTATCAGTTTTGGATGTTTCTCAGTGAAACTAAGCTACAACGTCAGAGTACAGACTGAAGACAATGACCAAAGTGACACTGACTTTCAATCATTACCCTTTCAAGTGCATAATCTCCATCTGGATGTGAGGTTGTCCAGGTGCATCATCAGAGAGGCATCATCCCAAAGTAGGGAGGCATTACAGAACCAGTTTGTCCCGTGCATGTTTTTCCCCAACTTTAAAGGATGACTGTTTCAAGTGCATAATCTGCATGTTGAAGTCACCAAAGCGAAGATCGTGGAGGCGTTACAGCAGTTGTCCCTTACAGCCTTTTCCCTCGAGGTGGAAACCCGTTGTGGTTCCGTGAAAGAAAAGTTCCCTCATCAGGGAGGAATAACCATGGACCAGGTCACACTGCATGCTTGCTTTTCCATGTTGGTGCAAGCCCCCAAATTCCAAAATAACAGACCAGGCTCATGAGAAGCACCTCAGTCCATTTCCGAAGGCGTACCAAGCTCATGACCTCCACTACATGCTTTACTGCACTTATACCCTGAACCTATTGTGAAAAACGCGCTCGTCTTGCCGTGACTTAGTCTAGGACCTGAAAATACCAAGATGTGTAGCTTGGCACAAAGCTTAGGGGCCACACTACCGTCTTCACCCGAATAGAACGCCGGTCATTATCGCTGAATCTGGACTGAAAGTTGCCCCAAATGCCAGATATAATGACCAGGCGTTCTACTCGGGTGAAGATGGTAGCCCTTCTCCTACCTACATAGGAAGCTTTGTGCCACTTTACAGCATCTTCAGATCCTAGACCAAGCCAACCCTCGTCAACTTGGTATTTCTCGGGAAAAGGACAAAGGGCATGAGACAACAACAGAAAGATCTGTGCAAGTAAATGCAAGCTGACAATGTGCCAATCCAGATATACAGAGGGGAGACTTGTATTTCAGATACGAGGCATTTATCTGACATGCTTGAAATAGTCTTTTTTTCCCCCCTCTTTTTGGTCTGTGTTTCCAATAACGCTCATAACATATTACCAAAAGGTCGCACTGGGGGGCCCAATTGATAAACTAACAAGAAGCTGATTTGCTTTCATGGGATTAGAATTGGTCACCTCTGGCACATAATAATACCCCAGAAGTTGAAATCCGCATGAGTCATGTGAGTACCACACTACAGTCCTCCCCCGAACATTACGCACCCTGAAAATGAACATATACAAGGTACGTTTCCGGCCCGGTGCAGTCAAAATGAGGGTGCGTTGTGTTCGGAGGAAGACGGTAGCAAGATTGGATAATGTTCAAGAGGCACAGGAAATCCAGCAATAGCAATTGCCACCCAACTATCCAAAGGGCATACTCACACTAGCGATATTCACACATATTTGTCTGCAACTACGGCCACATTCACACTGGAAAGTTCTAGTGAGAGTATGTCATAAACACCCAAACAAGTTCACCAGCTTTAGGTGTAACAGCTCGAAGAACTTCAGTCCAAGAAAGAATGGTCCATCTGTTCTTTTGTTAGATTGCTCGCCTGAGGGACGGGAGGCAGAAGGCATGACTTCTTGGGGATGTAAAGGTGGGCATTTGCCCAGGTTACGTTTGCTGGACTTCGCTCAGAGTGTATTTAGTCCCTAACACTACTGTGCGCGGCTCAAGGCCTCGGTAAGCCCTTTTGGGCCTGATCAGCAAGTAAGGCCGCCCTGAGTGAAGGCGGGCCTGATACATTACGTGAGGCCTATTTTTGTGTTTTCTGCAAACTGGGGAAAATCAGTCAGTTACGCTGCCTCAGTTGGTGGAGTGAGCCCAGGCCGTGTGTAACAACATCTGTTTCGGGTTTTTAGGCCCTTCCTGAAAGAATCGGAGGCAGGCCCTGGGCCAGACACGAGGCACAAACTGTGCACAGAGCGCCTGGCAGTTGGACACCTGTAACTGCCAGAGGCCTCGAGGAATATTCCCCTGGGACAGAGGCCCAGCGACTTGGGGCCTACCGGAAGCTTCTGGGCAGAGGCTCAGACCAGCCACGCAGCTTACGACTGGCAGTCACTTTCCATAAAGGAAAGGACCGGAAGCTTCTGGGCAGAGGCTCAGACCAGCCACGCAGCTTACGACTGGCAGTCACTTTCCATAAAGGAAAGGGCCTGGCCACCGACTGAGCATTCGGGCACTCACTGCTTCGGGCGCAGGCACTGCTGCGCTAGCTATACATGCGAGTTGCCCACGTGCTCACGGGCGAGCAAAGGGGATTGGCAGGCAGCCATAGCCGGGCTAGCCTGCCTGTATCTGGATGACGCGCATGGTGGTCTTCGGGTGCATGTGGCATGTGTGCAGAGGTTCGAGGTTGTGAGTGTGGCGAGGACATACCTGGTGCTTGATGCATTCGGCATTGGCCGAGATCTGCTCGTACTTCGGAAAGCTGTTGATGTCACCGGCGGCATTGTAGATAAGCTAGATAGGATCTGCCAGTTGTAGTCTGGGTGCCAAGCGCCACATAGGGGTACGAGATTGGTTCATGGATGATGATGACGAACGAGACTATTTCAACATTGTCATTTGCGAGCTCGGCTGCGCTCTTATTTGGTGTATTTCGTGTTGCAATTCTGCTTTTGGTTCGAGGTCACGACTATCTGGTTTCATATGTATGATGTGGCTTGGTTTCTGAATTTTGCTATCGCTAATTTTCCTTGCAACTGTGTAAATCGGGATTTGAACCCATGATCTGTTTGGCAGAAGGCATGACTTTTTGGGGACGTAAAGGTCGGCATTTGCCCAGGCTATGTTTGCTGGACTTCGCTCAGGGTGTATTTAGCCCTTAACACTACTGTGTCCATCGAGATTTGAACCCATGATCTGTTTGTGAATTAGGAAATGCAGTGTACCGTTCAGCCACCTCAACGCAGGCACTGCTCCTATATCCATTGCAACAATAGTTTTGTGAAGGCAACAGGGGAGGGGGCGGAGGGGTAAGGGCAGCACTCACTCCTGCTCACCTCATCAAAAAAGAAGGATAGCCCCCGAACCGTTCGGGGCGAGCACTCTGGCAGGGACAGCTCCCGCCGCATATCAGATACGGCATCTGCCAAAGCCTCCCCGCAAGCCACTTGGCTCACTCCTGGTCCTCGTGTGATTGTCTCCAATATATACTTGACCGTGTCATCCCACTGGTACCGCAAGGTGCGCGTACCACCTCCATCAAAGCCCATGACATCACTCTCATCTCCCTTATCCAACTCACCACTTCTCTTGCACTCCGTTTCCACAACACGAAGTGGCAGGAAATCACTTATATCATCCATGCTTACTGCAAGAACAGAGCCCCATCAACGGTTATATTAATCAGCCAGTTACAACAGATGCATGCGAACATACATGATCATCATAAGTACATGAAGTTATCAATTGTCGAATAAGGATTAAACCACCAGTCCACTTGAGGCCAAATTTCCGAACCAAAAAATGCATTTTGTCGAGCCTGTTTTCAACCGGTACCCAAATGACATCTCTCTCTCTCTCTCTCTCTCTCTCTCTCTCTCTCTCTCTCTCTCTCTCTCTCTCTCTCTCTCTCTCTCTCTCTCTCTCTCTCTCTC